ATCTATGTGCCAAGTTTCATCAAAATTCAATGAGTGGTTCTTGAGACATCAGTGGAGCATGCACACACCCATCCCCCACACCCACAATTCTCAAAGTGGATGGCATATTTTCATGCCCTATGACCTCATTAATTCATGATCAAGTGTTTGTGAGTTCAATAACATTACTTTCTAAGAGCCTTAATGAATAGCTAAAATGAATAAAGAAAAACAAAATCAACAGGCGATGTACTAACACCATTTTACCAAGAAACTTCTAAACGAACTAGGTGTATGCAGTTAAACCATGTGCACCTGTTTATATAGACTGTAAAATACTTTATTTTCACTTGGAATTAATTTTTGATATTTTCGCTGAAGGAACGATTCAGTGAAAATAAAATCCAGCGAATGTGCCTTTTTTCCTATATTTTACAGTCAACTCGTCAAAAATCAGTGAACATAAATTCCATACAAAACACCCTAAAACTCTTTTCAGTGAAAATAAAGTATTTCACAGTATTCGAATCGTACACTGTTTTACACTGATAGCCTTCAAATGAGCAAGTAAAAGTAACATTCCTTGATGAAATATCACTCAAACTTGTGTGAAACCATCGTCTACATTTTTTTAATGGCGAGATACACGTATCAATGAATCGCAGGAATTTGTTTTTTTTCCCCCGAACTTTTCAAGATTTCATCAAACAATATCACATCTGTTTGCAAGATAAAAGATTTCTGTTTTTATAACAAAAACATGTAAAATATTATAACTTATCTTAAAGTTGTTGGGACTTGCATTATCGTCAGTGGCTCAGGCAAGTACTGCTTTATTGTATACAATTGTCCAATTTATTTGAGAGGACTAAGACAAGGTTCACTCACTGTTGTCATGACAACACTTTTTTACTTACAGATATGTAGTTCTGTAGTACATTCTCACAGGAACATCTGATATTTTTTTTATCAATATCTGCCGGCTTCAATAAAGCTCTGTACCTTACGAAAAATTCTGGATATGACCATCTACAATCAAGAAAAGTATTCCAATTACACAAACTAATTATTCATTTATGCATAAATTAAACTTGTTCTAACCAATGACATCTCAGAATGCACTACAATGTATGTGCTCACAGAAAACAACAATTCAACATATTCAAAACAGGTAATGCTACTTGGTAAAAATTCACTAGGTAAGTATTTGGCAGTTTTAATTTTTGGCTTCTCAAAATTTTGACCAATTACAGACTTGTCTTTCAGTTTCCCCAACAATTTTGTCCGTCTAAAAAATTTTACCATGTAATAATTGCCAAATTTATTATTTGATCCCAGATATGTGCTTTTTTGGGTCTTTAAAATTTTATCTGTTTTAAATTTTTCATACATATATGCACATGTGTGGTTCAATATTAATTCTTCTTCGTAATTGTAATAACTTTTATTGCCCTATAAATGTTTTAAGAACATTTTTGCATTTCTAACAAATAATACATCTTGTCACCCAATGTTTTTGCAATCAAATTCAACCATAATTTTGTATTATTTAAATGAGGGCAACATTTTAGAGTTTCATCTTCTGCAAATACCCCGGTACACTCATTTGCAAGTAGTATTTTCACAGAAATCATTTTGTAGTTTGTGTGATTTCAAATCTGGATGTTTATCAAATATCACATGAATTGCTAATGGACACAAAATCGCATGACAAACATTACATTTCTAGAAATACTAAGTACAAATGAAGGGGTATGTGATAAATCTGATTAGTGTTCATCTTAGATGGTTTCAAGAAAGTGATGATAATCTAGCTTATTTTTATTTATGCAATTAATTCTTTCAAAAAATTCACTGTTCTGCGGTGTTATTGATTAGAAATATGGTTGATTGACGCACCCTTATTGGGTCACTTTCAAACCCTTGCAAAGTGCTAGAAAGTACTGTAAAGGGGGTAATTATTCACTGGGTTTTAATTTTGCTTATTTCGCTGACTGGAAAATGCGCTAATTTAAAACCCAGTAAATATGTAAATTTAACATAGAACACATTATCTAAATCATTAAACCTTGAATTTTAAACCCACTGAATATGCCTGAAATGGTAAATCAGCGAAATTTAAACCCAGTGAAAATTAATCATTTTACAGTAACTTTTCCCTATCTTATAAATCCATGATAGAAAAAACAGTTTGCTTCTCTGTATGGCGAATTATTAATTAATAGACAATGAAATAATAATCTGAAGAGTATACCTTGATGGATATCCAGCAGAACTGATCCGTATCGTCTCCAAAACACCACACGCTCTTAACTGCTCTACCGCCCTCTTTGGTTCAAATCTAATAAAAATCAAAAGATTACTTTGTTTATCAATTTACTCTGAAGACAAATACATAATAACAAATAAAACAGTTACTCTAAAATACTTCATTTTCGCTTGGAATTAATTTTCACTGAAGGAATAATTCAGTGAAAATAAAATCCAGCAGCGAATATACCTTTTTTCCTATATTTTATATTCAACTCGTCAAAAATCAGTGAAACAAAATTCCATACGAATCACACAAAAAGTTTTTTCAGCAAAAATTAATTCAAGCTAAAATAAAGTATTTTACAGTAGTTCAAGTAAGTGATGTCAGACAGGGCTTATACAGATTCAGAAGGAGAGTTTAGATTTAACCTAAGAAGTCTTGTTTCTTCGATTCTGTGCAAGGTATCTGTGCAATACAGGATGGTAGAAAATTAAATTTCAATCAAAACATTTATCCTGCCAGCAAGTATTACGTATGGAAAAACAATGGATCATTTCCAAAAAAAAATTTGAATATATACTGTGTGCGAAAAACTCTGTGATACAATGATATCATGCTACCAAAAAATCAGTTTTAAGTTCCGCCATTAAACATGGAAACTTGAGCACTTGAAAATGTTCCAATTTTGTCTATGTAGAGGGGTTTCTTTGAAAGCATAAATGTTAGATAGCTCATCAGAACGCAGGAAATGAATTCTGCACGTTAGTAATCAACCCCCCCCCCCTAATTTTCGCACGCAAACTGACAGATGGCTGTAACTCAAATCTTGTCTATTTACATGTCATTTCCATTACTGGACACTAGAGGGCGCATGATATGATATGACTTACTGTCTCAAAAACTGCTTCAATGACCTCTTATTTTTTTGCTTCAAAATTAAGTACTAGTAAAGACTCAAATATATGAAATTTGATTTAAGTCAAACTGCGGGATCTTGTTAAATTAATTTAAATTACTTTGTGATTGCTCTTTACCAATACATTCCTATGTGGTATGATGGATATACTGTAAAACATGCAACATTTTAGCGAATTGTGGCAAAATGACGCAATAGCGAAATGTTGATTTAGCGAATCTCTCTTGCCATTGTTGATTTCCTGTTTTCACAATACTTGTCTGTCGTGCGCCAAAACAAATGCGCAGTTATCACCTCCATAAAAACAATGACAAACTGTCAAGTGTAACTAAGATTCTGTTCACAGAGATAAAAAAACGGATGCAATAGAGAATGGAAAAAGCGGGTATCGTTGCTGCGTTACATCCACAACATTGATCTTTCATATTGTGACTCAAAAATTACTAAGTACTACTAATTTCCATAATAATATATCAGTATCACTTCATTATTTATTTTCATTGAAATAATGACCACAATGAATACGTTTATTTTTTTTTTGTTAATTTATTTTTCAATATAGTGTATCTATCATGTCAGTATGTTTTTTGTGTGTGTTGAGTCTGGAGAAAAAGATGTTGTTTGGCTGCCATTTTGAATTTATAATGAAGTCATGAGCGACATCTTGAATTAGCGAATTAGTTCTCTCGCTAAATTCACTAAAAAGACATGCTTGCAAAAAAGACATGTTTTACAGTAGTTTATAACGACTCTTTATAAAATAATTAGATCAATGATGCACATTTTTTGGATATAGATTGTTGATCTAGAGATGCACAGTATTTTGTTCAATCTTGTTTTCAAACAGCTAACTGGAACCAAATATACATACATTGGTAAAATTTTAGGATATACAAGCACTTATGTAATTAGCACCTATATAAAGAGATTACTTACACAAATGGTGCTTTTTCGTCATTTGGCTTGATGCATCGAATATAATGGGGAATAGTTGCGTTCAACGTCTGCATCAACCGGGTTAGTGAACTACGGAACTATTAATGAGAAAAAAAAAAATCAATACTATTTGATTGGAATTACTAGGACTACCAATACTGGTCAAAATATCAACATCAAATAACTTTACATTAACAAAGTACCATGGTGATTACCATCACATTCGCTTTGTTTACTGTGAAGCATCAATAAGTGATATTTCACACTTTACATGGCAACATGCTCGATATATCAGTCTCTCTGCTATTATACCAAATCGTGCAATAGTACCATTTTCATCGCTGCTTATATAAGAATATTTGATTTTTAAAACGGCCGTACACCCGGTAACTGCAAATACATGTCCACTGCCATCAATTCCACAATCATGTCATAATTGACTGAAAGGCACTTAGTTACAATTCAGCCAAATAATAATTACAATTTTTTTCGAAAATTAATTGTTTATTCATGGTCCAAGGTTATAATCTAAAAGTTAGCTTGAACAAACAGACACTCACACATGGAATGCTGGTGATAGGACATACCATGTTTGTCTTATCAGAATCGTCTCTCTAATATAAATGTACACATTCATTTATCATACATGTATGTTGGATCATTAAAATACGACTCATTTTGACTGTATTTTCACACCTCCGTTCTTTACGCGAACACGTGCACATGTGCTACTGATGTGGTACGTCGTATGTGTGATCAGAAGGCACGCTAAGAATAAAAGAAATATCGAGTGGAAGAGTTGAAAGAACAAGATTAGGGAAGCAAATGAATGACATAGCTTTGTTGTATTTTTTTCGCATGCTGTCAAACACTACCACCTTAGATAGCAGCCATGAAGGTGAAATTTAATTGCATCATCAATTAGACAAAAACAAAAACATCATTTAGATATTGTCAGCACTAGAGTTGAAAATAAATTCACTAAATAAGTCAAAAAGATCTGAATGTAATTCATTTAATACAAATATAAATACTATGTTTAGTCTATTAGGTCATTATGCACTTACTCGTTATGTAAATGACATACCAAATCTACAGTCAAGAAGCTTAGTCGCATTTTAATAATCCAGTATAAAAATATACAATAAATGCAATTTTTGGTTTATGTGTGATTTTATATTAGAGATGTGCTTAGAGAGGAAATATAGTTATTTTCCCAAAAAAGATGAAATAGCATTTTTTAAATAATAATTATGCATCAATATTGTATTGACATTGTATTTACCTGCGACCCCACAGTCTGTGTGTGTTGTTTTTTAGCTCCTTGCAGCGGTGGGCCTGTCATTGATCGGACAGATCCTCTACCAGTTCTTGGTTTATTATAATTTTTACTCTGTTTCCCAGTACGAGCAGGCGTTTCATCTTCACGAAATAATGCTGCTACAAATTCAAACTGTAACACAAGTTAACATCATTCTCTTATTCTGTTAATGATACAACTCACACACTGTTCAGATAACACTTAAAATACTGTAAAACATGTCTTTTTCGCGAGCATGTCTTTTTCGCGAATTTAGGGAGAGAACTGATTCGCTAATTCAAAACGTCGCTAATGACTTTATTATAAATTCAAAATGGCCGCCAAACAAAGAAATCAACAATGACAAGAGAGATTCACTAAATCAACATTTCGCTATTACATCATTTTACCACAATTTGCTAAAATTGCATGCCACTTTTTCAACATGTTTTACAGTAAGCTGGATATATGTACATGTACATACAAGTATAGTTTGTTTCAAAAGACATCATCACGACCGGTCACTGGTAGTAGATGTTGCACCAGACTCATGATCGGTAGACCCAAGTTCAAATCCTACCTTAGGCTGAACATCAAAGGGTCGACCCCTACCCTGGGTGAGTGTGCCACAGACTCAATGGGCAGGCCAATTCCACTGGCCGAGATTCATTCACTAACGAATGCGACTTTGGGGGAACCTTAGTTAAGGTCCGCAGGTGCTTGTGTTCGACAGAGCCTAGTTGATGCCAGGATAGCGCATTAAAATTGCCATTTGACAGAGAGATGGCCACACAGCCCTGTCAAGTAGTCCCAAACATGGATATGACTTCTGTGGCAAAATGCACTATGTGTCGTCACTAGTCACTAGCACTTGCAATTTGCACATACAAAAAAAAAAGTCAGGAGAGACAAAAGTGAGACCCAATGTCGCCTGGCACAAAAAATAATATGTCCGCATACCTGGCTGGCTCTCAAAATATTCAAATGATCTTCAATCACCATGTCTCTGTTCTTTTCAAGAAATCCTCCCGTCTCATACTGCACATCATCTGCAAAATGGTGAATGACAAACGCCGACCGAGACATTCGAGGTTTAGCGAAATGTTTGGACTTCTCTAAGTGTTTTGCATACAACTTCTGACACCAATTGGCATCATTTCCATTTGGCATCTAAAATAAAATAAACATAGTTAAATTATGGAAACCTTGCCCCATATACTACTCCATTATTTTATAGTTAAACATACTAGTCTGGTGTGATATTTGAGTGTATGTTTGGTTCAAAATGTGTTTTTTTTTCACTTGTCAATTTAAAAACATTATCTTGTATTGCATTACCTAAAGGAAGAGTGTTATAGAGTTAGAAACTATATTAGATTTTTTTTTTTAAGTTCAACTTGTTTTTAATTCCATCTGTCAAGATGTCATTCGATCTAGCAGCTGATACATTGTAGGACAAAATAAACATATATTAATTTTGTAAATGAATGTGTATTCTATCCAATTATTCACCAACATTTTTCCACTGATCAAGGTAACTATGATATTCGGCAGAATAAATGAGAAGACGAGAAAAAATGAATCATTATTCGAGGAGAAAAAATGAATCATTATTCGAGGAGAAAAACATTTCACACAATTCTCTCACTCTACAACAAGATATCAGCAGCTATTTCAAGTCTAAATCATTGACAGAAATCACCACAGACGCTATGAATATTACACACACAAACCCTGTTTTTCTGTTTTTTACATGGATTAGTTTAATCAGTCTAAAATAGACCATGGCCCATGACTATAACTATAGCACTCTAACCACATACCCTTGATAGATCTGAAATACATACTGGTACAAGACGAAAATAAGACTAACCTTGCACTCTTCGTCCAACAAGTCCAGAATACCTAATTTTTCTTCAATGAGAGCAATGCACGGTTGATTGTCGTAAAAATCAATAAACGACCATACTATCCCCTCTTCCACATACTGGTCTTGTTCTAGTTTGAAAACATGTTGGGTAAATTGTTGCTGCAGCTTCTCATTTGCATAATTTATGCAAAATTGTTCAAAACTATTAGTTTCAAACATTTCAAATCTACAAGAAAAAAAATGTACGAATTGGTCAGGGAAAAAATGGAACTAACTGTTGGAAAACTATGTTAATGAGATGCAAATTATTTTACCATATATGGTATTATACTCATATGGTTGATAAGACAATAGTAAATATGTTAATCAGATGTAAATTATTCTACCATATATGGTGTTATTACTGACTGGTTGATAAGCCAATAGTAAATATGTTAATGAGATGTAAATTATTCTACCATATATGGTATTATACTCTTATGGTTGATAAGACAATAGTAAATATGTTAATGAGATGTAAATTATTCTACCATATATGGTGTTACACTTGACTGGTTGATGAGACAATAGTAAATATGTTAATGAGATGTAAATTATTCTATCATATATGGTATTACACTCGTATGGTTGATAAGACAATAGTAAATATGTTAATGAGATGTAAATTATTCTACCATATATGGTATTATACTCCTATGGTTGATAAGACAATAGTAAATATGTTAATGAGATGTAAATTATTCTACCATATATGGTATTATACTCCTATGGTTGATAAGACAATAGTAAATATGTTAATGAGATGTAAATTATGCTACCATATATGGTGCTATACTTGACTGGTTGATGAGACAATAGTAAATATGTTAATGAGATGTAAATTATACTACCATATATGGTGCTATACTTGACTGGTTGATGAGACAATAGTAAATATGTTAATGAGATGATTATTATTTAACCATATATGGTATTATATATGGTATTATGGTTGATAAGACAATAGTAAATATGTTAATGAGATGTAAATTATGCTACCATATATGGTGCTATACTTGATTGGTTGATGAGACAATGGTAAATATGTTAATGAGATGATTATTATTTAACCATATATGGTATTATATATGGTATTATGGTTGATAAGACAATAGAAAATATGTTAATGAGATGTAAATTATGCTACCATATATGGTGCTATACTTGATTGGTTGATGAGACAATGGTAAATATGTTAATGAGATGTAAATTATGCTACCATATATGGTGCTATACTTGATTGGTTGATGAGACAATGGTATATACTAGCATTGACTTACCCATAAATATCCAGCACACCAATAAAATTATGTGGAGTTGCTTCGGTATGTAATGCTACATTTATTTTGCCAACAATCCAATCAAATGTCTGGGCATAAATATGCTTAGCTAAGGCATCTCTTGCTTGAATTGACTAACAACAAAATATCAAAACAATCATGTCAGTAACATTTTCAAATCAAGTTGGTTTTCTAGCCACAACACCACTCTGTTATTCTTGCAACTGTCAAATGATCAGCACGAAATCTGACTGTATGAAATCACAATATTTTTCCCAAGGAATGCAAGAATTGCTACTGAAGTAAAACAAGCAGCCTCTCGGCTGAGATACATGTAGCTCCACTGTTATTCATCAAAATTAGAGAATTAGCGATATCATCATGAAATGAACAAATCTGAGAGAGGTCTACCTGTAGTGCCTATATGTATAACATATAAGCAATCAGATTTGTGGTTTTTAACAAAAAGTCGAAAATATCACTTTTTACCAAAAATTACAAAAATAGTCATCAAAATTAGAGAATTGAAGATATCATCATGAAATGAACAAATCCAAGAGAGGTCTACCCGAGGTACATATACACCAAGTATCAAAAGCATTCGGGCTTGTAGTTTTCAAGAAGAAGTCGAAAAAGTAAAACATTGACACGGACGACGGACAATCACTTATATGATAAGCTCCGCTCGACAAAGTCGACAGCAGAGATAAAAACTGGGCAAGTAAGGCAATAAAATCAAACTTATTGCCATTATAGGGAAATACCACCCTCTAAATTACCAGGATGTGCGACCCTTGTAGGTCATGAACAAGACCTGTTGCAATACTTACTTGTGATTCCGTTAATGGTTTGATCATGGTTTCATTCACAGTGACAATCTTTCTATTGCATAGCCATCTTTGCATTTGTTCTCCATCTATTCCAAGAAGAGACGCAACAACAGATAAACTGATATCATCCGGCTAAAAGAGAATAATATTTCAATAAATTCAAGTTTACAAATTGCTTGCTGCATGTGTGAAATTAAAAAATCTGCTTTTCATATAAAAATATTACAAGAATTTTGTAAACTTTCAACGGATATTCAAGTTGAGAAATTGTGTGCATAAAAACCTGGAACAAGCAGCCTATCGGCTGAGATAGCTCCGCTGTTAGCAATGCACATTTCAATTAAAGAACTGAAGACATCATTAGAAAATGAACAATATGTATAGTATCAAAGCAATCGGACTTGCAGTTTTTAACAAGAAGTCGAAAATATCACTTTTTACCAAAAATGACAAAAATATTCACCAAAATTATAGAATCGAAGATATCATCACAAAATGAACAAATCTGAGAAAGGTCTACATGTAGTATCTAAATATGTAATATCAAAGCAATCAGACTATTGTTTTTTTACAAGAAGTCGAAAATATCACTTTTTACCAAAAATGACAAAAATATTCACCAAAATTATAGAATCGAAGATATCATCACAAAATGAACAAATCTGAGAGAGGTCCACATGTAGTACCTATATATGTAATATCAAAGCAATCAGACTATTGGTTTTTTACAAGAAGTCGAAAATATCACTTTTTATCAAAAATGACAAAAATATTCACCAAAATTATAGAATCGAAGATATCATCATGAAACGAACAAATATGAGAAAGGTCTACATGTAGTATCTAAATATGTAATATCAAAGCAATTGAACTATTGGTTTT